AAAATTAGAATATCATCATGGAACCACCATTAAATTAGCTGCTTCTGACATTTTAAATGCTATTGCAGTTGTACTATCAGCAAAAATGTGCGCATCAGAACTGCAGCACGCAGGATTTCTTGTTTTCTTCTGGGTCTGTGGCTCAGTCCCGCCCCCGTCATTTCTGTCCAATGGAAGCAATGATCGTTACCTTCATGGCTTTGTTTACAAGTTGTAGTTGGTTTGCAAAAAAAGCACAATGTGAATGCAAACTGCACCAAACGAAAAAAATAAAGTCCACTTTTGGTCTGGACCAAACAATTGGACCAAAGAACTGTCCTGGTCTGAATACACCCTTAAAGTGATGGCATCAGGACCTACTGCTCATTTTCACATTGTAATCTAATTCAAATGTCATTATTTTTTTATCTTCCTTTTACTAGTTTTAATGTACAAGTTGAACAGGTTGATTAAAAAAATTCATATAAAAAAATCAAACAGAACTTGTGCAGGATAATATGAGAAATACATAACGGTGGAACAAAATGTTCCAAACAGCAGAATTAATTCAATAAAATTATCGGATATACTGTAGCTATAATAGCTGCATTCTTTTTATTTCTCTAGGGTTTACAGAGAACATACATCTTCCTTCTTTTTTAGTCAGTGGGATTTGTAATTTGAAGATATTCCTTCTTTTTCCTCACCTGCAAACACACTAGCAAAAAAGATTAATGTGGCCACTGCCACATCCAGACTACATCTCACAATGACCTCTCCCTATCTGACAACAGATCAGGACTGGATACACATGTAATCTCCCATATCTCCTCCAACCATCACATCAGAATGAGAGCTACACTGTCCACTAAGTCCACTGGTGGATTTAGTGATGGCAGCAAGTGGAGGGTGATAGAGGGTGTAATCATGTGCATGGACCAACAAAGCCAGGTAAACAAACTTCAGAAGACTAACACTTATGAAGACTCAACAACTTGAAAGCCTCTGCTAGAAGGTGGAAGTGATAAATATGCTTTAAAAATCAGTGTATGTTTTATTAAACTTATTATTCATGCTGCTCATTATTTGCTTATGAGTCAAGCTTATTAACATCCAATTTGTCTGTCTGCAGACGGTGAAATGTTGGTCTCCTGTCTACAATGTGAGCCCACACACTTCTTTAAATCATACATGCATTTTAACTGGRTTCTCTGGGCTCTCGTTTCCACACCAACATAAACACATTACATTTATTAATACCCATCAAGACTGTGCAAATAGAAAATACTTTCTTCCCTGAAGCTCATCTGCTCCGTTTTGCTTCAAGAGTGATAAAATAAAACGGCAAAGTGGGATTAATGTGAAAGCTGAGCTCCAGTTTAATGAAAGAACACTTCACTGTGTTAATTAAGGTAATTACACATCAAACAGAACGTGATACTTAAATACTGTAAATGTCTGACAAGAGCAGAAAGTTTTCACAGAGACACAAGACAGATAGACATCTACACAGCAAAACCTCTCATACTCTTTTCAACAAATTCTCATTTCACTATAACCCTGATTTGTGTCTTAATCGGCTTTTATAGCTGATTTAAGTGTCAAAAACAAGCAAAGTATGACTGTAAAATATATGTTAGTCAGAAACTTCACATGTAATCAACGCCCCCCTGTGAAAGCATAACCCCGCCCCAATCAAATGAAAAAATTACAACAAAGTGGGCGGGGTCAAGAGACACTGAGGGGCACGGCGAGGAGGATGAGAGAGGAGGTGCGGTCCGGAGGAGAGAACGTTGACAGCTTCATGACATTCAAGCAAACTAACATTTAACTGATTCAAACTAAAGTTCAGGTAGCAAACTGTTAAAATATGACGTTGGTCCAAACAGAACAGGAAGAATATTTACTCTTTTCTGTTTGTTCCAATAGTTCATTTGAAACTCACAAGACAGTTGCTGCAGAATGGATCCAGAGTGTTAAAGTGACATTAGCATGAAACTGCAATGCTTTGGTCTGAAGTCCTCCTTATTGTAACTCCACAAGCCCCTCTTTCCAAATGTCATCTTCACATCCTGCCCCCCCTCCAGCTGCCAGACCGGTACATTCTAGTTTGATAGAGGAGTTTATGTCTATCTAGCAGTGCAGAAATGTTTTATTTACACATTAATTAAAAAATGTCAACTACAGAAGACTTGTTCATCCAGCCTTACATGTTAGTTAGAGCCAGAGTCTGAGCCAAAGCAAGAAGAGAATGAATACGATGAAACTGTAGCTGGCAAGTCCTGATTGGTCAGTTCCATTGAAAAAACTGTGATGTAATAGTTCAGAAGACATCATAGTAAATAGAGAAAACTGAAAGAGTTAAAAACTTTGACCCAAACAGAATATAAAGAGATCTATGTAGCACCGGGAGAAACTAAATTCAACTTTTCAACAAAATGTACACTGCCTGGCCCAAAACAACAAGTCGTCACCAAAAAAAAAGGTCACTAACTAATATTTTGTTGGAACGCCTTTAGCTTTGATTACATCACACATTCACTGTGGCATTGTTTGGATAAGCTTCTACAACGTCACCAGATTTATCTCCATCCAGTGTTGCATTAATGTTTCACCAACATCTTACATTGATGATGGTAGAGTCTGACCTTCTCCAGCACATCCCAAAGATTCTCAGTGGACTCTGTGGAGCCAGTCCATGTGTGAAAATGATGTCTCATGCTCCCTGAARCACTCTMTCACAATWKSAGCCCCATGAATCCTGGCATTGTCATCTTGGAATATGGCCGTGCCATCAGGGAAGAAACAATCGTTGATGGAATAACCTGGTCATTCAGTATATTCAGGTCAGCTAACCTCATTCTTTGAGCACAGACTGTTGCTGAACCTGGACCTGACCACCTGCACCAACCACACATCATAGACCTTACCAGGTGGCACTATTTTTTTTGTCCGGGTAGGGTATTTAATGGCTAAAGAAGTCAATTTTGCACATGTCCCCTTTAAGGCTACGGATCAGCGGAACGTAAGGTAAAGTGGTGTATGGACTTGAGCAATAAGACAACATGATTATTGTGGATCTGTCACCCGATATTACATGTAGACAACATATTGTGTTTGCTAGAGTTTGATTTTCTTAAATACATCTAAAAATGTAACCAACAATTTTAATTTAAGATTCAAACTAGACTTTCACCCCAACCACTTTTTTAAAATTGCAGCATATATTATTTTTGCTTCTGTTTTATTACGGATACTTTTGTCTTCTAAGAATTTGTAACATTTCTTGTAAACTATTTGCTACTGTAACATGAATGAACCTGTTCCAAAAATAATAATGAATATTTTTATTTCATCTCCTCTATCAGAATAGTTAGAATAACCGTGCAAGCTAGATGTGAAGAAAAATATTTCAACTGCCAGTTAAGTAAATAGTTCGATAATTATGACAAAGGGTTATGATGTTATGATGTTTCAGGAAGAGCAGTGTGGTTTTCGTCCTGGTCGTGGAACACTGGACCAGCTCTACACCCTCAGCAGGGTCCTGGAGGGTGCATGGGAGTTCGCCCAACCTGTCTACATGTGTTTTGTGGACTTGGAGAAGGCGTTCGACCGTGTCCCAAGGGGGGCCTTGTGGGGGGTTCTCCGGGAGTATGGGGTACCGGGCCACTTGATACGGGCTGTCAGGTCCTTGTACGACCGGTGTCAGAGTCTGGTTCGCATTGCCGGCAGTAAGTCGGGCTCGTTTCCGGTGAGAGTTGGACTCCGCCAAGGCTGCCCTTTGTCACCGATTCTGTTCATTACTTTCATGGACAGAATTTCTAGGCGCAGCCGAGGTGTTGAGGGGACCCGTTTTGGTGGCCTTAGGATCGCATCTCTGCTTTTTGCGGATGATGTGGTCCTGTTGGCTTCATCGGAACGAGATCTGCAGCTCTCGCTGGAGCGGTTCGCGGCCGAGTGCGAAGCGGCTGGGATGAAGCTCAGTGCCTCCAAATCCGAGGCCATGGTCTTGAGCCGGAAAAGGGCAGAGTGCCTTCTCCGGGTCAGGGGGGTCGCCCTGTCTCAAGTGGAGGAGTTTAAGTATCTGGGGATCTTGTTCACGAATGGGGGAAGAACGGAGCGGGAGATCGACAGGCGGATTGGCGCAACGTCTGCTGTAAAGCGGGCGCTGTACCGGTCCYTCGTGGTGAAGAGAGAGCTGAGTCAGAAAGCGAAGCTCTCGATTTACCGGTCGATCTACGTTCCTACCCTCATCTATGGTCATGAGCTTTGGGTCATGACCGAAAGAACGAGGTCCCGGATACAAGCGGCCGAAATGGGTTTCCTCCGCAGGGTGGCTGGGCTCTCCCTTAGAGATAGGGTGAGAAGCTCGGTCATCCGGGAGGGACACAGAGTAGAGCCGCTGCTCCTCCACGTCGAGAGGAGCCAGTTGAGGTGGCTCGGGCATCTGGTAAGGATGCCTCCTGGACGCCTCCCTGGTGAGGTATTCCGGGCACGTCCCACCGGGAGGAGGCCCCGAGGAAGACCCAGGACACGCTGGAGGGACTATGTCTCTCGGCTGGCCTGGGAACGCCTTGGAGTTCCCCCGGAGGAGCTGGAAGAAGTGGCTGGGGAGAGGGAGGTCTGGGCCTCCCTTCTGAAGCTGCTGCCCCCGCGACCCGACCCCGGATAGGCGGAAGAAAATGGATGGATGGATGGATGGGTTATGATGTTATTCAGCTACAGTATAAACTTGACAGAGCTCAGTGCACAGTAAGCCTACTGGGTGTCAGTATGCTGTTTAACAGAATCTATTTAACAGCTTACAGAACTGATGCTTCAACAAGCTGTCAATCAACCACCTTGCTGAAAACACAAAACCACCAACATGACTAAAGCTGCAGCTAAAGAACAGACATCAAGTGTTTCCTGCCTTCTTGACCACACCTGGCCTGCCTCCACACATACGATCCGCCCCCTGTTAGGAAGTTCTCTCGGGACTCTGTTAACAGACACGTTTCAATCATGAGACAAGAGCTTACCTTTGGATGGCTCTGTACGCTTGGGCAGATCCAATGTGTCATAGTTTTTGTCGTTTTCACCACTCTTTCTACCTGCATAGGGGAAAGAGGAGAGATTTTGTCYTTAGACTTTTATGGGTATAAAACTATTGTATGTCTCTAAAATTGTATTAAATATTTTGTCTGACAAAAGAATCTCTGGAAAACAAAAGAACACCAGCATTAAAATTAAYCATGGATGAGATGTTAAACACTTAAGAGAAGCAACAAAAGTACTGATCCATGCAAATGGTAATTGGGTACATACACTTACAAAAACACAAATAAAAACATGTAGAACAGAGAAAACCAGAAGTGTGATACTTTATGTAGAAACATGCCAGTAGAACTCACCTTGCCTATAAAAAGTATTCACTCTTTTGGATATTTATGTTTTTACTGCAGTCATGAATCAAGCATTAGTAATAATAATTGGCCTTTTTGACAAAAGAAAAAAATAAAATGTTCATTGTCAAAATAAAATCACATGTCTATAAAGTAAAACAATTTAAATTATAAAAATATACAATGTAAAATAAGTGATTGCAAATACATTTACTCTAAGAATTTTTGGTGAGTGGAAAAGAGAAAACCACTGCCGACTGGCAAGAAGCATTTGACCGTGGAGTTTTCCATGTGTTGTTTGGCAAACTCTGGCTTTCTCTTTGTCACTCTTCCACAGAGACAAAACCGGTGAAGAACCAGGGCAACAGTTGAAGCTCAGTCTCCTAACTCCACTAAGACTTCAGAGTGGCCACAGGTGGTCTCTCTATTGTGCTTCTTGTACAGTCACTCAGTTTGTGAGGACAGCCTGCTATTTTCAGATTTACACGTCTCATATTTCTTCCATTTCTCGATGATTGATTTAACAGAACTCCAGGGGATGTTCAGAGTTCTGAAAATTCTTCTTTATCCAGCCTGACTTGTACTTTTCAATGATTTTCTCTCTGAGTTGAATTATTACAGTCACTTTAAACAAACTGAATAGTTACGCATTCACCTATTTTAGATGGCATATTTTTATTTAACTGGTTATTCAGACAAACATTTGCCTCTATATGAAGACTTGGAAGAGAGTACTGGAGTGTTACATCATTCCCATTTTGAAATATGAAAGTGAAGCTTGGACCATGAACCAAAAAAGCTGTTATAAATGCTGCAGAAATGTGGTTTTTAAGAAGACTGCTCAAGGTCTCATACATCGACAGAATCACCAATGAAGAAGCGTTAACAAGAGCAAATAAKAAAAGATCGCTTCACAAAAAGATTATGCTGGGATGGGACAGATTTTTTGGTAACACCATGAGGAAAGAAGGGTTAGAACATCTTGTATCAATTGGAAAAATAGAAGGAAGAAAAAGTCGTGGACGAAACCATTTATTTTTACCATCACTGATTTAAGCATAAAATACCCAAAGAGGTGAAAACTTTTAATAGGTACTGTACATGGGCAATTTGTGACCATGTACATGAACTGAAATGTGTTCTAAAAAAAGAAAAAAACTCAAGTCCACACACCCACATACAATCACACAGCATACTGTATCTCTGCACTGAAACAGTCACAAATGAACACATTTATGAAATACAGCAYTGATTCTGAAGCAGCTGGGCACCTTAAATAATGCATTAGCAGAAAGAAAATGTGGGCGACAGCAGCTCAGCCAGCTAATGGTCCAATCACATGCTTATGGACATGCCCTTGGGACAGAACAGTGACACAGAGACAGGATGACTGATTCCTCTGCTTGGTGGAAGTTAAATTTTCAGTATCTGGGGTCAGAYTGAGCCGAAGTTATGAAGCGTTCCCTTCAAACTACTTTTAAGAGCTAAGCCACCTTAAAAAAAAGAAGGAAAAAAAGCCCAAATATTTCAGTCGTCTTAAAACCAAGCTAGGTAGGAAAAAGTTCAAGTTTCTTCCTTCTTGAATTTGATGATCCTCCTTCAGTTGTGTATTAGAAAGATGTATGAAAGTTAAAGTGAAAATTATTTAAGAATTAAGCCTACTAACACTTTTGTCCTAAAACACCTGAAAAACATAGTGTCACACATTTTCAAACATTAGACATACTTTCATGGTGAGTCTAAGACGAATGAATGTATTTTTGAAATCTGACATTAATTAATCAAAACAGCGACAAACTATTGTACTTCTTGAACATGATGCTGACTAACTCAAAAGGATTGTAACAAGGGCTTCACAAACAGCAAAAACATGTTCTGACTCAATGGGCCTCATGCAAGAACCGTTCATACGCACAGATTTGTTCTTAAATTGTGCGTACGAGTGATTTAGGAGAATATGTG